AAGAGTAAACCTGTTTAGCAACAATTTAATAGAGTATTATCAAAAAACGAAGGTTACGAAACGCTTACTAAAATATTAAAATTTTAAATGGTGAAAGGGAATCAATTCAAACAAGTGAAGATTTATCCTTAAATGAAATGGTCTTTTTTATATATGACGCCTATTACTTCCGTAGATGTTGAACGGTCATTTTCAAGATATAAAAATTTGTTGACTGACAAACGCCGATCAATGGTCTTTGAAAATGTAGCTAAAATGATTGTCATACAATGCAATTCACATTTAGGTAAGTAAATTTATCTTGGGATACATTTTTGATATAAACTAATTTCTATTTTTTTCTTATAGATTAAAACTACCTACAAAAACAAGAAAAAATTAAGAAAAGTAGATAAGTATTGATAGTTGGGTTCCATAATTTTTTTAAATAAATATATTGTATTTATTAAATTTTTTAAATTTTTTTTGCTTATTTTTGTTATGCATATTTTTTATTTTTCGTGCATATTTTAACATTTAAGTGCATATATTTATGCATATTTAGGCATTTTTTAGCGCATATTTGGTTGGTTTTTAATGCATATAAATCCTCGCTCTAATGATGACTGATGAGTAATAAAATCAAGGAATTAATCTATAATAAATAATTTGGAAAACAAAAAATTAAATGATAAAACGTTTATTTAATACAGCACATAATAAATAATTCAAATTAACTCAAAATATTTATAATTTATACCTATATTAGCATAACATAATATACAATTGCATGAACACATAGGTGATTAATAAATAATAAAAATACAATATAAGCAAATATATAACAATCTAAATACTGCTTCTTAGAGTTACATAACTACATTTATTTGATGATACACTAATGTTATTTGGAATATAAGAAAATAATGCATGGTGGTACACAAATGTACATTCATCATCCAGTTTTACCTCATATGAAAATACATTATCATCAAATGCAACAGTATTAGTACGCTCACACTTAAAAAATACCAAAGTATCATTAAATAAAAGAATGTCTTCTATTATTCCAAATATAGGAAGATCAGTTTCATGTATATCTAATGTAAGTACTAGCTTTGGCTTATATTTGGTTCATTTTATAGATACCCAAGGTCACTTAACAATAGATTCTACAGGACTAAATTGTAAAACATTTTTTAAAACTTCCAATTCTAAGTCACTCAGGAGCTTGGGAGAACTTGTTTCAAAATGGGTAGGTAATGATCCTTTAAAAAAATAATATTGTTTAATTGCAACTGATGTTTGATTGCCAACGTTTTACATATATTTCGTCTATTGCTAATAGTGTTTGCAGCTATTTTGGATATTCTATGTTTTGCCTCAAACCTCATTGACCATAATGCTACAAGGGGGCCAAATTTTTTTAACATTGTATAGTTATGTAACATGAAATTATATTTTGGCTTAAGATTTTGTTTTCTATACATAAGATAAAGGTCAAGATATTAATGTTTGTAAGAGTTCACAAGAATCTATTTGCAATGAAATAGATGTTATTAAATCAAGAATTTGTCTTAAAAGTATGTACAAATGCCATACTGGATCATTTTAGGGAACAAAATCTCCAATTAATAAGCCAAAGTACTGAACAATTACCAACATTTCAGATACAGACAGACGAATATTATAAATATTCTCCGTGATTAATACAGGAGGCTTACTGCTACTATCTGGCCCATAATCAAAATGAATCATTCTCTCATTAAGAATTTGTAAGGAAAACATTTTTAATGCATAAATATAATAATTTAATAAAAATGCTATATCAAACTTGCATACCCCTTCCAATAAATCATGCATAATGTCCATACCACTTTGATCCAACACATTGAAACCACATACATCATGCCAAACACACACATCTTTAATGCCACTAGTTGTTACATTACATTCTAAAACATCTAGGTTATATTGCTCCAAACTCCTATCTTCTTTCCTTATTTCACATACCCTGCATGGATAATTAGAAGAAAAACTTTCTACAAATCCAGTTATGCTATGAATACCAAGATTATCCCCAACAATTAGACCTAATTCAAATTTAATATTTCCTTTAAAATCATCAGATTCAATCATAATACCAGTTTCCTTTAAATAATTCAACTCATTGATAAGTGGCCTAACAATTATATGGTTTCCAAATTGCTGTCTTTCAGATGAATGAAATAATAAAGCTAAAAAAATATTGCTCAAGGAAGATTGTCGGTGAATGGGTATGCAAGGAACAGTAAGATAAACAGCTCCTAATTTGTGTAGAACTGAATGGCTACCCAAGGGATTACCTAGGTACCTTATAATTGTCAAAAATAAAAATATAGGCAAACAATTTGACTTTCATCATAATCTTTAATTTTTTTTTCCAAACACTACCTTGAATAAAATTCGTTAACACAGCAACTTTTCACTTTATTTACATAGTCAATTGTATCTTTTAAAATTTTTTTTTTTTAAAACATTACGAGTAAGAATAAATTGTTCAGTATAATGAGTTGGAATGATACAAAATGTATTGTTGTTTCTATTTTTATTCAGCCCTTGTCCTATTATAATTTCTATGGGCGGAATATAAGTACCACAATCTGTATCAACCAACAAACTGTATAGGTGGAATTTCAATGGAAGTAGGTGTATTGGCAATACTTTTTTGACTATTAACTGATGCCAATTGGTTACTCTGAAAACTAGTGGTTACAAAATGTTTTGTATGTTTAGAAGTTTGAGAGTAATGAGTTGCAGCAACATGTTTTTTAAATGAATTTAACAAATGAAATGACCTGTTACAATGATTTTCTATGCATATATATTCAATTAAATCATGCTTAGCGTGATACACTATAATAACACTACCTATATTAGGTGATGTTTCTTTACAAATAAAACAACAAGGCATAATGGAAGTTTTAAGAACCTATATTTAAAATGTTATACTTTCATAATATTATAAAATGTAATAAAAACACATTGAATTAGTTACTTAAATTTAAAAACTAATATATGAATATAATGTAATGAATACACGAGTTATTGAACAACATAATGTATAATTGAATACAAATTACATTGAATAATGAATACTGATAATAAAACATTAGTTATCCCTGTGTCACTTATAAGCAAATTCGCTGTTATAAACTCAGTGTCCCAAACAGTTTTAATTTTAAAAAAAAAAACCTTTTGAATAAATGTCCAAACTTGTAGGCATTCTATTGGATATTCTAAATTTAACGCATACAATCAATTGCCCCAACAAGTGAGTTTAGAACATAATAAGTGTTATCAACATAAACATAAAACTGTGCAATTTCATTGACGCTAGGGCTTACAATTGAAGGGGTCAATGGATAAAGGTGTTAACTGACATTTTTGAAATTGTTCACAATCGCAACTTTTGTAACTAAATATTTATAAGCTATGGAACTTTTATGGAATTTAACAGTGGCGCAACCAGGATTTTTTTAAGGGGGGGGGGGGTCCAAAAATATAATTATTTTAAAGTAGCATGCAAATTTAATTATTATAAACATAAAAAATAAAGTTATGTACAATGTGTACCTATACTGCTGTAACAACAATAAAATTACGGTTTAAAATGAAGTATAATAATAAAAGTATAATATAAGTATAATATTTATAATTATAAGATGAAATCTAAACGATGTTTTGTAGAGCTTAAATGACTTATTACTTCCTCTGGTGTTACACTGACTTCGTAGTGGATATTGAGGGCAGCTAATCCATTGAGTCTTCTTTCTGATGTGGAATTTCTTAAGTAACTCTTGATCCTTTTAAGTGTGGAAAATGATCTCTCCGCCTCACATGAAGTAATAGGAAGTGTGATAAGTATTTGTAATAGTTTATATATATTTGGGAATAAATCTGGATTGCATTCATTAAATATTTGAATTACACTATTATATTGTTTATTAGTGTCAGTCAAATAACGATTCCATAAAATAGTTTCTAATTTCACTCGATCAAAATCATCAACATCGTTAGCATAAAAATCAACAAGTTCTCTTAGTTTTTCTTCATCAAACTCTGAGCTTTTAACAAACATTTGAAATCCAGATATTATGTTTTGATGATTAACAAAACGATCGTTTAATTGTTGTACAAACGAATCAAGAAACGGTAGAAATAAAGTGAGTCTAAAATATTCTTCGGGATCTTTTGTCGGAATATTATCTCGGTATTTTTGACGCTTAGCTAATCTAGGCATTTCAATAGTAAGTTCAAAATCGTTTAATCTTTTATTAATATCAATAAATAATTTGTTAAATTCAGTAGTGGCGTTTTCCCTTATACAACTTAATTGATTTTTTACTAGATTAATATGATTAACAGCTACCACCAAATCAATATTTTTACTTTGTAAATATTTGCAAAGAGACTGAGTATACTGAAAAATGTGGTTGAGAATACTGAGGGCTACATTAAATTCAGAAGATTGCAATGCCAAAAGCAGTTGATTAGCTTTACTCGATGTATCAATATCTTTCCATGTAATCATTTCTTAAAAGCAATAAATAATTGCAGGGAAAAATTCATTGAACGTTTCTATTGAATTATAACGTTCAACCCACCTAGTTGGGCAAAGCCTTTTAAGTTTTTGTTTATTTGAAGAAGTTTCTTTTTTTTTCAACTCGGCCAGATGTGTATTAAAAAAATTTTGTCGTTTCGGAGTATTTAAAAAGTTATAACATGCTTCTACAGTACCCATAGTGTTTCTTATTCCTTGAATATTGCAAGCATATGATACTGACAGATTGAGATTATGAGCACTACAATGTATGTACAATGCACTCGGATATTCTTTTCTAACTAAAGCTGCAACACCATTTAATTTCCCACTCATACTTGCAGCACCGTCATAACCTTGACCCCGTAGATTTTTGATTTCAATATTTAAGCCTTTTAACTCAGTAATAATATGATTTTCTAAGCTTTGACCACTAACATCATCCACTGGAACAAATTTTAAAAAAACTCTCACACATTTTTTTTTCGTTCACGTCATAATAACGAGCACATAAAGCGAATTGTTTAACACCTGATATATCAGCCGTTTCATCGGCTATTATTGAAAAAAACGTACTATCATTTATTTTTTTTACAATTTTCGATATAATAATATCAAAACAAATATGAACTATTTCATTTTGAATTTTCCAGCTAATATATTGAGCATTTTTACTGCAATTTTCTCTAGCTAACTTAAAACTTTCATCACCAGATAAAGTAGTAGCCTTAAGAAAAAATCTTAATAATGACCTAAAATTGCCTTCATTTATTAATGGTTCATCTATATTAAGTGGTCCAGAATCGCGGTGACCTCTTAGAGCTATGCCTTGCCTACCACACAATATTACCGAATTAATAACAGGGATTATTATTTTTCGATTATTTTCTTTCTGGATTTTTTCAGTTTTGTTTAATTGATGGTAAACAGGATATGTTTTTCCTGTAACAATTGACGAAATTTGTTGAAAATCTATTACACTATTTTGATGGTAGTTAGTTTTTTCGTGCGTAGAAAACTTTTCTAAAGCGTGTTTCCATTTGTTAAAAGGTTCGGTGCAAAGCTGGCCTAATAGCTGACTACCCTTTCCACCTCTATATTTGGAAAAAAGCACACAATATTTGCAGTAAGCACCGTCTTCAATTTTACTATAAGCTAGCCATTTCCAATTTTCTAACCATCCAAATTGAAATTTTAATTGTTTTTTGCCATGCTGAGTAGAAGGAAATACTGAGTTCTTACCTGGTGTCCATAGATTTTCTAGATGTCGAAGTTTTTCAGCATCAGTAAATTTTTTACCAACCATTAGCTGTATGTCAAAAATACTATGTACATTTGAAGTATCTAGATCCGAATGTATTTCTGAAGTTTGGACTTCTAGTGGTTCTTCTCCCCTAGAGACTTTAGCCGGTACATTTGATGTTTTAAAATAACTAATTATGCTCCGTTTACTCATATTAAATTTATAAGTATTTTATAATATTAGTAAAAGTAAATATACCTATGTAAATGCCAAAAAAAAAAAAAAACTGAAAACTACGAAAACTACGAAAAATGACAAACGATTTGTTAACAGTAAAAGTTAATAATACACGATAACACCAATTATTATCAATGCAAGCGCGTGACTGTATGGTAATACCACAGAATAGATGAAAATCTGTGGTAATACTCAGAACAGTTATATGGTAATCTTTTGCAACGGTGACTTCTCGATACGAGCTTACACGTGATTTGTTCTTATCAACTATAAGGCGTTTTTATTATCACAATATCACAGCAGCCGTACTCGGTTCTGAATCGAATCAATTATTCAATTTTCTCAAACATTTTTATTATTTTAGAAAGATACGACACGGTTCAAGGGGGGGGGGGTCCGGACCCGGGGACCCCCCCCCCCCTGGTTGCGCCACTGGAATATAACATCTTTCAAATGTCCGCCTCGGCTTTGCTTGGTGGCACGTATTCGGGTGGTCCAATTTTCTATCACTTTGTTGCATAAATCTGGTTGAATTTGCTTGATGGTGTTGAATATGTTGACTTTGAGGGCATAAATTGTTTGTGGTTTATTTGCATAGACATGCGATTTAAGACAGCCCCAAAGAAATAGTTTAATGGCGTTAAATCGCACGATCTCGGAGGCCAGTTTATGTCACCATTGCGTGATATCACCATGCCCTCAAATCGTTCACGCAGAATGTCTATCGTTGCACGAGCCGTGTGACACGTAGCACCATCCTGCTGGAACCACATGTCCTCAGTATCCATATCATAGAGCTTAGTCCAAAAAAAGTTGTTGATCATTGATCTGTAGCGCTCACCGTTGACGGTTATGGCAATGCCTGTTTCGTTTTGGAAGAAGTACGGACCAATGATTCCGCCAGACCAAAATCTGCACCAAACAGTGATCTCTTCTGGATGCATTTTGTTTTTTTGTGTCTTGTGTGGATTGGTATCATCCCAAATCCAACAATTTTGTTTGTTAACGTATCCATTCATCCAAAAATGGGCCTCGTCCCTAAAGATTATTTTTTTAGCGAAGTTTGGATCAACTGCTAACTGCCCCAGAACCCAATCAGCGAATACACGACGTTGTGTATGGTCGTTTACCTTGAGTCCTTGTGTTAGTTGGATTTCATACGGGTTCAGACCCAAGTCTCGACGCAAAATTCGAGGATAAAAATCGAGTAATGCGCGGAAAGTTTCACTAACGGAGCACTGATTTTGGTAATAAAATTTAATTATACGCACACGTTGTTCTACGCTATAACCGTTCATGGTGATTTGCCATACGGTACTGAATAATTCACAAAAATTATGCAGATAAGGCTTTAATGACATTCCCGATATATCAGATCAAAGTTCGAGCGCCTCTATTGAAAAACCCGTTAGTACCTACCCAATTAAAAATAAGAATATAGGACATCGGTCACCGGGGAACAGCTGGACACACACACACTCACATATCACTATTTGTATTGTTTTATTATTATTATCGTTGAATGTGTATTGTATTTTATTGTGAATTATATAATACGTAGATAAAGCCAAATAATATTTTAACACGGCCCCCGTGATTTTTGTTTCGTATCGTACGTCGTTCCGAAAACATCAGCTCGTGCTAAAATTTATATATTATTGTTTTTTTTTATTATTGTGAGCCATAAGGGCAATTTTAATATATTATAATTTTTGGTTTGAGTGTGCATCAACTGCCGTGCCAGCACAACCGTGCACAAATTATTTTTATTATTGTGAGCCATAAAGGCAATACTTATATTATACTATTATTTTGTCATTTCCGTGTATTATAGGTCCTCACATTATAGGACAGGACCAGCTGGCCAGTTGCGCTCCACAAACTGTGAGTTTTTCGGGCGGTACTGATTTGCGCACAAATACCAAAAAGACAACTTTTTTGGGCACAAAACTACCACTCGTTTGGGAACAGTTGAGCCGTAAACATGCACATGGTTTGCGCACAGTTACCTTTTGGCTTGACCTTTTAATACCCTCTTAATAAGTAAATTATTAAAGTACCTACATACATTTTCCTTCTCACTTGACAGACTTAGGACTGCCTATGAATATATTCATAGGTGTGGTTAAAAATGCATGTTAATACTTGCTTATTATTAATAATAATTGTTAATAAATTATGTTAAAAATGCATATAATATAATGTTTGTGTAAAATGTGTTAATTTTAATTTTAAGATAATATATCAATTTAGAAAAACTACTTATATAAAATATTTATTTTGGCGCAAATGATATGTCATTTTTAACAGTTAACAGTTAAGTTAATGAAAAGCCAAAAGTAACTAGTTAAGTTAAAAAGTTAATATAAAATTAACTTATTAACTTAACTTTAACTTTTTAACTCGTTAATGCCCAGCCTTGCATTTTTGCACCTTTGGTGCTTATGTCATATAGGCTATAGCCTTATTTTGGTGTGCGCGAACCAGTTGTACATTTAGGATAACCGTGTGCGCAAATGAGTTCCGATTTTTCAGGTAAAAATTATAAAATGTGCGCTAACAAGTTGCAGCCAGTTTTTCGTTTCATTATTTATATTACTACTTTTTATTATATATTATATTCAATTGTTGGGCCAAAAGGGCTATAGATTTTTTATAATTATTATTTATTATTAGTGATTCGGTGGGCCAGAAGGGCTATATATTGTTTTTTTATACGAGCTTCAGCTCAAATAGCTGCGTCAACATATATATTATTTCGGTTGGCCATAAGGGCCGGTCATTTATTATTGTTAACTTTATTACTATATATATTGTTGGACCAAAAGGGTCATATTATTCTTTATAGTTGCGTAAATAGTTTCTTTATATTATTATTATTATTTCGGTTGGGCCAAAAGGGCAATTCAATATTATATTTTTTATACATTTGTGTTGCTGTGAGTTTATTACATATTTGTACTGCCATTATTTAAACCGTGTATTATACAGCAACTCAGCTATCAGAAACCGTGTTACCATTTTTTATTACCTATTTGCTTAATTGTATACACACCTACACACATACACATATTTATACACAAATACACATAATTACACAACACGCACTACATAGCCGACAGTAATTGCTAGGCGATCCCGACCACTACTGTTCGAGTTATTACACCATTACACATCCAGCTTTTTCTCCATATTTCCAGGAATTAGGTGTTAGTGGTGTAAAGTGATATATTGGTGTCCGGGCGCGCGTATTATTATTTTATGCTCCCGACCCGCACACAAACAATTAAATTATTGAAAATTCAAATCTCATTTTTGCATTTTTCTCGTTCTTCAAAACCACTCGTTCTTTGAATGTTAGAACTGCATCAATCATATCCGAAGGTGGAACAGATCCTTTGCGTCCGACCATTTGAATCAGTTTGAATTTTCAATAATTTAATCAATGTAACTATTAGGCTGCGAACACACTGTCCGGTTTTAACCGCAGCGGTAGAAATCATCCGGTTGTCTGGTTCGATCGAAATACATTGTTTTGAATTAGACCGACCACACTATCCTAAAATAAACGCTGTGGCCGTCGGGTTCAAAAATAAACCGCATCGTGTTGCGGTTGTGGGGATTGCCCGGACAACCGGAATTCTATCAAAACATATTCATTTGCATCGAGTCGTCCACACTGACGTACGCGACCGGACGAGTTGCAGTACAGTACAGTACGAGTTACATGCCTGTTATTATTTTTTAATTTTTATCTCTGTAGTCTATGTTTTAAATACATTTTAAAAATGTTTAATGTTGATAAATTCATCGAATGCATTCACAACAATAATGCAATTTGGGAGACAAGCTCCAAAGAATACATGTACACAAACATAAAAGCCCAAAGTTGGCTAATTGTAGGACAAGCTGTATATGAAGATTGGGACGAGTTATCAACTACAGATAAAGATAACCGAGGTAAGATTTTGTTATAATTTAGTATCTGTAATGAGTAATATATGTACCTCAGGCACGCCCGGAGTGGGGGGCAGATGGTGCAAATGCACCACCTGAGAATTTTAATAATTTGGATTTTTTAAATAAATAATAAAATATATAAAAATTCCTTCTCTGTTAATTTTTAATTTATGCCCTTGATTATTCTCAATATAGTAATTATAATATTATATAATATTATAATACCTATTCTGGCTATTCCGCATTTTAGTACTGTGTCATGTCTAACCACGTGTCTATTAATACATTTATTTTGGTCACTAATAATATTATTATGAATTTCGTTATCTGAAATCAGTCACATCTATTCTGTGGTACACTATTATTTATTTTGGGTATGTTCGAACAACTCATTATAATATATTGTTGTATTCTATACATAATATTATTATGATTGTATAATTGTTATTGTATATTCGGGTTCTAATTTTACTCACATTGACATAACATTATCACTTTAAATAAACGTTTAACGTGATATCGATATGTAATATTGTGGAATTATTTTATTATTACGAATTACGACTTTCGATGCCGAACATTACAAGAAATATGACTAATAAACGAAATTTAATAAAAATTACAAATTTCTTTAACAAAAAATATATTTTATGTATTTACTCCAACTTTATACTAGTATAGTAGAGTGCCTGATGTTCCTTTATATAAAGACCTAGATTAGTAGACTAGTAGAGTATTAACAGTAGACACTCGAGAGGACATTTGTACTTAGTACTTACCTATAATACGATATGGCTATATATTAGTAATAATATGGCTGTATGTTAGTAATAATAAAAAAAACGAGATGTGGGTGACGCTGTAGGTAACAACTGAGTGACTATAAAATATTTATTAAATTTGAATTCAATGATATAATATACAGTAATATACTCTTATATACACAATACACATAAGATTATAACAGTACCTATATACGGAAAACAATTCTGAGCGAAGACGGTTAAATAAATTCTTTGATGCTCGATAGTAGGTCGGAAACTACTGTGCATTTAAAATGTTGACCACCTGAATGCAACAACTAGATTAATTTTCTCATCGGAAAATATACTGAAGTAGAAAAAAAATCGAAGCATTATTTAGAATACTTATCGTATACACAGGCACAAAAAAAACACATAACAGTAAAATCGAGTAATTAATAAGTTATAATTAGTTTTTTTAAATAATTGACATACTACAAGTAACTATATTATATTTCAATATACAAAAAATAACTTAAATAAAATACTAGGTAATGAATAACACAAATATAAAACTTATATGCTATATAATTTTTAAAATGAAGAATTATTTCAGTTTATTTTGAGTTCTGAAGAGGAACGGCTCCTGGACCAATAAAATAATTTGAAAAAAAATCTCTCACCTCAATACCTTGAGATCGTGTCCCAGTTCCATGAACTTCAATATCTTCAAGCGAGATTGTTTCTGAGTTTTCAAAATTGGTTCCATCTCTTTTACGTACGAAATTGTGTAAGACACAACATGCCTTTATCATCCGTAAAATCGGGTTCTACTTGAATCGGAGTGTGCAATACTCGCCATTTGTTAGCCAATACACCAAATGCATACTCTACCATACGACGTGCCCTGGATAACCTATAATAGAACACTCTACGAATATCTGTGAGATTTCGTCCAGGATAAGGCCTTAACAAGTGTGTATGGAGCGCAAACGCTTCATCACCAATAAAAACATAAGGTTGAGGGTTGCTTTCTGTCTCTGGTAATAAAGCTGGTTCTGGAAGATCAAGTTTATCCGAATACAACAATTTTCCGAAGTTGCTATTTTTAAACACGTTTGAATCACCTTCCTTGCCGTATGCTCCGACATCGATTGTTATAAATTGTAAATTAGCGTCGACGACAGCCATCAATACAACAGAAAAATACTTTTTATAATTAAAAAAAAGGGAACCCGAATTTTTAGGATTTTTGCACATATTTATATGTTTCCGGTCTATTGCTCCTAAGCAGTTAGGAAAAAATAAAAAAACGTCAGCAATTTCCAACCACTTGTCTTTTGTTATTTCAGGCATTTCTGTAGGCTTTAGAGTTGACCATATTACCTGACACGTTTCTCTCACTATTCCCGATATAGTGCTTTTTCCTATATGAAAATCATAATGCAGTGCAGAAAAGCTCACTCCAGTAGATAGATACCTAGAACATATATTTTTTTATAGTAATTTAAAAATTAAAAATATTTGTTAGATTCCGAGCGGAGCGATAAAATGTACAATTTTACAATGACGGATGTTTTTATGTATATAATGGATGTGTATAAAATTGATTTAATTTACAGCATTTAAAACAAAGTTTGTTATAAGTAATTTATATACATTATACATGATTACATGATTTAATTTTCAAAATATTTTGACTTTTTTTGAGATATTTATAGACAACTGAAATTTTTAAGTGTCGATAAAATTTCTTTGGCCCAATCAAAATACTTGAAAATTTAATACAAAGTTCCTCATAAGTTATTCTTATAGTGATTAAAATATTATAAGAATATATAGGCACAATTTTTTTTATTAGCAGGAAAAAACGGGAATAAAAAAAAATGTCAACAGATACATGACATTTTTACTGGTTGTTTATATTAGCATTTTCTATATATGATCCTTTTTTTTTTATAAGCATTCAAAGTTCGAATGTTGACAAATTTTATCAAATTTAAAAAAAAAAATAAATAAATAAATAAATAAATAAATAAATAAATAAAAACACACATCATTGTAAAATCAATACATTCATCGCTCCGATCAGAATCTAAAAATTATTTTGTAGTTAAAAATTGATAAAATTTTCAAATTTCGAACTTTGAATGCTTGTAAAAAAATATTGTGCCTATGTATTTATAATATTTTTCAATATTGTAATAATATACCTATCAGGAGTCTTATATTAAATTTTTATGTTTTTTGGGGCAACAAATAAAATTTTATTGGTATTTATAGAAAAAAAAAAACTAAAAAAATGGAAATTTGAAATTTCCATAAACAACTCAAAAAGAGTCAAAATATTTTTTATATATAAGATTTCCAATTATAATAAATAAGCATTTGATGTTTAAATTTATATATTTTACCTATTTATACATAGGTATTATTAATTAATATAGGTACTTCGTAATGTATATAGAATGACTGTCTCCGCTCAGAATCTTTTTTCGTGTAAAATGCTACAATGTTATGTACAGCAGGTATCATTGAATCAAAATTAAAATCCACTCGACAAATAATGATGTACAGCAAAGCGGAACCCACTTGCCCGCATAAAAAAAAAATATTGTACCTAAAAGTTATTTATTATTTATTTTTTAATTGGATTATTATTAAAATTTTTTAAGTCAAAAATTTAAAAAATCGATGGAGGCATATACGTGACGGGTATTCAAAATTTTTAAACCACGGTAAAAGTGGACAATCGGCCAAGAAAAAAACATTCGCTTATTCGGAATCCTTAACTTCTTTACAACAAGTTCTAGTAAAAAGAAAGTAAGTTAATTTTAATAGTTTAATATAAAATATATCCATACTAAATTTGCTAAAATATAATTAATTACTTTATTAGAACGTCAAGTAACATAGACGATCGTGCAGATGAAGATGACGAGGACAATATTTCGGTAGATGAAAATGAAATGGATAATACTCAAGACCTTCTATCAACGTCAGTGACTTCAATTCCTAATGCAACTTGTTCTGGCATAAATAATCGGGCGAAAAAAAAAAGAACATACCTTAATCCGTTTAAATACGCATTACTACTTCAACATTTTGATTCCTTAAATAATGAAAATGATATTGATCCTGACAAGGCATTTTTACTTTCTATCTTACCGGATTATAAAAGCTTAGATCAATCAAAAAAAATAGATTTTCGTCAATACATTTTAGACTTAATAATTAAAGAATTAAAGAATAAATCAAAACTCCTTTACTCGACAAAACACACATCCGCCACAGCTAAATCAAAATTATTCAAAACTGGTATATAACCAGCTACATCATCAACCATTGACATCACATCATCCTCTGCCTCAACAATATCAACACATACCACCATATCAACACCAGTATCAGCAGAGGCGCAACTAGCTCAATTGTTTTGGGGGGACTGAAGTCCCACATATTTTTATAAATTTTCAAAAATATAACAGAGGGGCTTCTTCATAAAAAATCATACTGTGTTAAATTCATTAAATTAACTTCATACAAATACTAACAAAAACTTGATAGTTTATTAATAATGTTTTACATAACTTAATAACTAAAAACAATACAAAATAATTTATTTTAGCACAATCCTTCCGTCTTGTTCCGCAAATTTATTAACAATTACTTCAGAATCAATTTTGTTTGATAAATCCCTTTCAATGTTTAATAAAGCTAAAGAACTAAAACGATCTTCAGCCATGGTGGTTCTGAGCCAAGTCTTGACCCTTCTCATTGTACTAAGAGATCGCTCGCATGTAGACGAACTAACTGGGATTGTTATAGCAAGTTGTAAATGTTTATATAGATTTGGATACACTGATTGGTTTACAGTACTAATAATGTCAGGTAATTCAAATGTTTCTTTATTTTGTAGTAAGCAATTTTTTGCTACTGACATCTCTGCTTCTAATATCTTTCTATTTACACATGTCAATCTCTGTAAAAAATAATTTAAAATGTATGAATATTGAACAGTAATGAAATAATTATATAACAAATCTCACTTCATATTGATCAACAAAATAATTGCTTTTTTCATAATTTAATTTGAATAAATTATCAATCGAAGTATCCAATTTCAAACTTTGTTCTGAAAATCTGTCTTCCATGTTAATTATAACACTGTCAATTACTTGATAATAAGCATGAATACACCAATATTCCTCTGGAGATAAACTTTTATCAGTCTCATTAATTAAACTAGCTGCACTAGTTGTTGTAGTCAAGTAAAAACTTTTTAAAGAATTTGGTTGTGTTCTTTTTCTTTTTGATTCTATAAAAATTAAAATTATTGGTTATTAGTGGTATTTTTAATGAAAAATATGTTAAAACTTTAGTAGGTATATTAATTATTATTTTTAAATAATAACCTTTGCATAGAGATGGTGCTTCTAATGAAATTTTATTTTTGTTAGCAAAGTTGACAATATTCTGCCAAAGCTTAGAGAATTCTGCAGAATTTCGTTTTTTTCTAAACGATTCTATCACTCCATTAACAGTTACACCAGTATTACCAAGTGTTGCAGTTTTTTGTTGTAATTGATTATTTAAAATATTTATCAACAGTAAAGTTTCATACAAAATAAATAAATGAATAACAAATGAACCCTTCTGTAGAATAGCTAAAATACCTGTATAAAATAATGTAACTATTAATTTATATATTTTTATGTATTAGGCAGGCATGATGCTAGTTTGTAAGTGTTTACTGTATACATCATACAATAGTTTATGTACACTAACCTATTGCTTGAGCAACATTCTTATCACTGTCACTAACTATCTCTTCTTGTAATATTTGAATTATGCATTCAAAGTTATTCATTATCGACTCACAATTTTTAAATCGACAAATCCAACGTGTGTCACACACACGCATCAATGTTGACTTTTTAATTTTTAAATTTTCCTGAACTTCAATAAGTTTAGCATTTTTTGAGGTGTGTGAAAAATGCACAAAAACTGCTTCAATACCATTAAACACATTTCTTGCGTCCTATAATCCAAATAATAATAAAATAAATTTTAATAATAATATAAATTATGGTGTACCTAGGTAGTACCTATTATATTGTTATATTAAATTTAATATTATATGTTATATTTTTTAAACAAACCTTAATATTTTTGCATGTGTCGACAACTACAAGATTTAGTTTATGGGCCATACAATGAATATATATAGCTTCTGGGTGTTTGGAGCGTACCTTTGATTGAACCCCATTTTTATTAACTGACATAACCGCAGCCCCATCGTACGATTGAGCAATTATAGGAACAGTGTTTAAATTACATGATTTAATAAATGAAAAAATTGCAGAAGTCAGAGATTCAGCGTTTTTATTTTCTGAAACTCTTATGAACCCTAGAAATCTTTCTTCTACACATAATCCATTGGGATATCGAATACAAAAAGCCATATACTCTTCTTTAAATGACCTTTTAATAAAATCAAAATTGTCATAGACCATAGTGAAATAGTAATTATATATTATTTACCTGGCTTCGTCACACATAATAAAGTACATATTACAACTCTTAACTTCATCAATAATAGAGTTCTTAACATGTTGAGCACAAATATTGGCAATATCATTCTGAATCAACCAACTTCCATAGTTAATAGTATTATTATAATAATTAGCAAACTGAGCATTATGTTTAGCAAATAGTTTACAGGCCTCTTTAAAGTTTCCTAAGCATAAAAATATAAATTGATAAATAAATAAAATTAATTTTTAATTTACTAGTTTAGATAGAAATAAAAAAATTATACCTTGGTTGTTTGAACATAATCTCTCATCATGTCCCCTAAATGCTAGACCCTGACGTGCCAAGTACAGTATGATATCTGTTATTGTTTTAATATAATTTCTATTATCCACAATTTGTTGTTTATGAGCATTAGATAATTGAGTATGAACACTTCCTGAAAGTTTAGTTGCCTTGTATGCAGTCCATTTAGTCATACATGTAATATGAAACTTGGTTGAACCATGAGCTTCAAGTTTAGTTTGCTTATTTTTTCCAGAACCTCGACTACCATAGAGCTAATATAATTTTTAAATTAGACATTGATAATCACAATTATTCAACAATATAATTTTCCTAAATGATTTATTTATATTATAGGTATTATATAATATAAACAGAATAAATTAACTAAGAAAAACACTTGCTTTTTTCCAATTTCTAAAACCTTGAATAAATGAATCTTCATTACAAGCAGTACTAAAGTTGCGGCAAACAAAGCATTAATTTATCATTAATTATACTGTACTCCAACCAATCAAATTTTGCAAAGTAGCTTGCAGAAAACGCTCGATTCTGGTCACCAAATTTTGTAGTAGGATATTTCTAATAGCATAAGTATTACCATTATAATCATTATATTATGATAAAGGATAGTAAGTAGATGCTTGTGCAATGTGCATCATATATTAAAATGTATTAATCTTTAATTATAACTTATAAGCATTTGTCATAATTAAGCCATTCCAAATGTGTACAGGTAATTTTAGTACATATAAAATATACAGTTACCTACTAAATAGTAAAATAAATACCTTTAATATGGGTTGAACTGGTCCTGAAATAATAGTACCCAAATCGAGATTGTCAAGTTCAAAATTTGAAGTATTTCTTTTTGTTTCATTATCGGTAACAGATAAATTAACATTGAATGTAATACTGCAGTCATCACCCAGTTTTTCGTTTTTATGAACGACAGAATCTTCAATTGGTGTTTCATTAGTTTTATTATTTATTTTATTAAAAATGCCAAACAATTTTTTACTCATATTAAATGTGAGAGTAGCGTGTAGCGTGTTAGTAAAATGTTGTAGTGTTGTACTACTTGTACTACGTACATAACCGTCGTGGACTGTGGAGTCGTCCGTCATAACCTCAAAACTTCATATTATCAAAGGCGGCAGTGCGGCACCGCCGCACCAAAGATATATAAACACGTGATCAGCACAGAATAAAATTATGATAACATTATATCACAGTGTTGCTACTAACCAATAAAAATAAAAAACAAGACGTATTTTTTTTATAAAAAAAATTGTTTTGTGAAAATACTTCAACTGAAGAACATTTTTCATACATTGTTTCGTAAATAAGTATTTACTATTTTACAATAACAAAACAATTTTAAAAGTGCTGAAAATTTTTGGGGTGACTATTACAATTTTTGGGGGACTATGTCCCCCCAAGCCCCCCCCCCCCCCATTTGCGCCACTGAGTATCAGTATGCACTATGCACCAAACCAAGACCACTATCAATCTCTACAACATAATTTTGATGTACCTGGGCCTTCTTCAGTATCAGCTTATCCTGTTAATGAAGAAACACCAAAAGACAAATAAAATAAAAAGGTATTTTTTCCTAGGGTATTTGTATTAATATTTCTTACATCAGTATTTTGTATTAATTAATTATTATTATGTATATTATATTATTTTTTGGTGATTGATAATACTGTAGTAAACCGACGGAGTCGCTTTCCTATATTCAATATTTTAATTACATTTCTCATGATGGGCACGCTGGACAACAACAATACTATTAATCTTTTCCAATACCTTGGGTTTGGCAGTTTAATTAAAAAATCAATCTAACGATTAATTTACGGATCTTCGCTTTATCAAAATAATGCGAAAACAAAACCATAATTCACTCGATCTTCGCTTTGCCAAAATAATGCGAAAACAAACCTATTAAAATTGCCAATAAGCCACTCGGGTCTTTTGGCAATAACAACATCCAGCCCCAGGCTCCTTTCAAATACCTATCCATCTCCTAGACTCTACCGTGTACTTTTATATCCGCATAGATTTCATATAAATATAAGATGATGTCTATTGCAAAATTAGAATTAGTTTAGAGTTTGCACTACGTACATACTGTACGTAACTAACTTCTCGGGCAGATGTTTTTCGCTCTGTCCTCAAATTTATATTACACTTAATTGTGATCATTTACTTTTTAAAACATTAATAAAACTACTTATACCTAACTTGTGTAACTTGTCTCTGCAACCTTTTCTCCTATTCAACCGTCAACGTCTTTGAACTCAAAAATATAAGCGTTAGTGAGGGATCACTACAGACATTAAAATCCTATTTTAAATGGTTTTTCGTAATTTTTCGGTGGTTTTTCCCGTGGCATTATAAAACTATTGAGAAAATCGAAAAATGACCTCTCTAAAGTACCATCTTGGTTCAATTTGCTAAAAGATAAGGTACTATATGTTGAAATCAAAGCACTCCTTCTGGTAGAAATTTTGTATACAGGATATAAAAAAAAAAAAAAAAAAAAATAAACACCATTGTAAAACCACTAGCTTCCTCGCTCCGCTCAGAATGTAAAATGTAATGACGGTAGACGATTTCTCATGGAACGGAATGATATTGTTGCTATGCGCGTAAAATTTTTACGTAAAATGTGTAACCTTCGTCAAAGTTATGACACTCGAACTATAGTTTACCTGGATGAAACTTGGGTTAACCAAAATCATTCACGTGGTTAAATTTGGCAAAATTCCCAAAATACTGAAGGATTAAAGGTACCGACTGGAAAAGGAGGTCGATTGCTTATTTGTCATGCTGGTTCTAGTAAATTTGGTTTTGTAAATGGTTCTAAATTAGTATTACGGTGTAAATCAAGTGCTACACATCCAGATTACCACACACAAATGAACGCCACTATATTTATGAAATGGTTTATTGATATGTTAAACCATTTAGAGGAACCTTGCGTTATTGTAATGGATAATGCATCTTACCATTCTGTTCTTTCTGTCAATTATCCAAAATCAAATGCTATAAAATCAAGTGTTCAACAATGGCTCAGAGAAAACGGAGTAGATTTTTCTCCATTAGAAACACTGAGTGAATTACGGGAACGTGTAAAGTCATTAATACCCAAGGAAAAAAATATGAACTTGATGAAATTGCACTTCAGATGGGCCATGAAGTTGTACGTTTGCCGCCATACCACTGCCAATACAATCCTATTGAGTTGATATGGGCACAAGTAAAAGGGGAAGTCGCTAAAAACAATAAAACTTTTAAATTTGACGATGTCGAAAAATTGTTATACGACGCATTGGACTCTGTAACTGTTGATAATTGGAAAAAATGTACCGATCACTGCCACAAACTGCAAGACGATGATTTCATCAAAGAAGGATTAAGAGACGAAATTTTGACACCAATAATACTGACAATCAATCCTGATGATAGTAGTGATAGTGAAAGCGACAGTGAAGAATTTTAAGTATTTTTTTTCATTAAAAATTACTAACTATTGTACAGTTTTAAAGTTTTAATTATAATGTAGTAATATTATTATGTACCTATACAATGTGCACGTTTAATATTCTTAATAAATATTGTGTTTTTAATAAACTGTAAAAAAGAATGTTTCGTTATTATTTTTAATCGTTAAAGACATAAATAATGACTAATGAGATTTGAAATTGCCGCGGTTTATTCATAATATTGGGAAACAATGGAATGTCAAACTTAGTCCACGGGTGGCGCTGCAATCGAATATCTAGTGTTGTGAAACGGACTATAGTTACTCGTGCAGTGTGTTGTACTTGACGCGGACACGATGATTGCTTCAAGGTTGATCGTGGTCCGGTCGAAGTGTTTGGTTAGGATTAAGGTGATGAAAAAAACACAACACAAACACTTTAAGAATGTCACAAATTATGTATTATAATATTGCGACCAAAATATAATAATACATGACGTGCCGCTCGGGCAGATGAGTTTAACGTCGGACGATATGTTATCGGTGGATCTCGAATCGACTTTTCCGCCGACCGTTGTACGTCTTACGCGACACAGTCCCCCCGTCCGGCCTTGCCGTTGCCGGCTCGGTGGGAGAGTCAACCCGGTCGCGCTGCTTGCATCCCGTGGTGGTGGTTGGAGATAAGATAGACTGGTCGCTATGGTGCTTGTACATTGTACTTGCTACTAACGCGGGCCGCGTCATACTGTTGTGTACTAGTGTGTACCGACTACCGAGTCATATAGACAACTGTAGTCGCCGATTCATGTTTTCCCTATATTCCAACTGAATATATTACTCGTACCCATAATGATTACCAAACAAAAAAACATGAAGAACATCACACAAGTGATTTAGTATCTATACTAAGAGATTTACCAAATATTGACATAGTTAAATATTTTGTACTTGATAGTAGTATGATTTGGTATGTTCAGCAGCTCCTCCCCCTTAAATTTTACATGTAAAAGCATAGGCTTCTCTGTATAGGCAATTCGTAGTACAGGCTCCTCCCAAACTTGTATTAATTACTCAATATAGGCAACCCGCAACACACATAAACTCGTCACAAGCCACCCGATCCAACACGTGACCGACATATATTTTATGCCTTCCCCTTCAAATACATTACCTCCCCTTTTATTTACCATTTAAAAATATATATAATATTCTGATGTACATTTGTATCGACTATATCGAACACTTGCCCGACATATATTTTACCCCTTCCTAATCAAATACATTACATACCCTTTTAAAAATATAAATATAATATTCTAATGTACATTTGTATCGACTATATCATACACGCTCATAATATAATATAAGGTAACAACATAACACATATCTAAAAATATTATACCATTTTCAGATTATAATCAAATTCGAATAAACATCTCGATAAAGCATACTTTATACATCGAAATGTAACACACACACACACACACACACATGGTCACAGTTATAAGAAATAAAACATTCCAATCCAACAAAGTACCACCCTAAATTATATTTTACACCCCGCCACCCGTCCTCACACCCTAACAACATCATCCGACTGCAGACCTGTACAAGCCTGTAGTGTCACGTCCGAGTATTGTCGATGAATTCCAGCCATAATGTATAGTGCACAGAGCAATATAAGATCAATCCGTTTACTACCGTTCAAGTGTCAAGTCGAGTTATTTCAGAGTTATTAAGTGTTTTTAAAGTGTATACAAATATTTTACAAGTATTATAAAAATCAAATTATTTATTTTACTTTAATGAACACCGTAGTTCATTTTTTCACCACTAGTTCTGATATTAGGGCATGCGACAATAATTCGCTTAGATAAAACTATTTCACATACTACGCATTCGAAAAAATAATTCAAGTATGTATGTTAATAAAAATGTTGGCAATTCACACGGCTATTATACTAATGTCTTGTACATACGTACGTCGCCAGGATGCGATTTACTTAACGATATTAAAATGCATATTAGTCAGTAATGTCCGATATAATTTCTTAACATTAGACTACAATGGTGCTTCCGTCATATATTTCCTGCCATTAGATATTATTCGTATTCAATATTTTTTCTACATTTTTAAACATTCCAATCCAACAGAGTACCAGCCTAAATTATATTTTACACCCCGCCACCCGTCCTCACGCTCTAACAACATCATCAAACTACAGACCTGTACAAGCCTGTAGCGACACGTCAGAGTATTGTCAATGAATTCCAGCCATAATGTATAGTGCACAGAGCAATATAATATCAGTCTGTTAAATACCGTTCAAGTGTCAAGTCGTGTTATTTCAGAGTTCTTATGTGTTTTTAAAGTGTGTACAAATATTTTACAAGTATTATAAAAAATCAAATTATTTATTTTACTTTAATGAACACTGTAGTTCATTTTTTCACCACTAGTTCTGATATTAGCGCATACGTTAATAATTCGCTTAGATAAAACTATTTAACGCTGTTATTTAAAGTACAATATACCTATTTTTCTATTATTCATTACACATCTATTCGTTGAAGGGTAAAGTCTTGTTTCGCGAGTTCGACTAGTGTTCTTCAGTTTTCTACAGACGTAATCATGTT